GGAGCGTTCGTTCGGCCTTCAGAACTCAGGAAGACTATTAGTGTATCCTTATACAGGTACAGATCTGATTAATTTGAATTTGTCTGGGTTAGCTTTTGAGATATTTATTTCTACTTGGTAGGGTATCTATGTTAATTTGGATTCCCTTTTCTCGTTATTTGCCACTATTTGGCTTCATTTGTGTCGTTTAGCTTTATATGCCTTTATTAGAACGTTTCCAGTTATGGTTTATACCATAAACTGCTTCGGAATAATATAATAAAATAATTTAGATTTTTTTATTATTAAAGAATGTGTGACAAGTGCCTATCACTACTTAAAAATAATAACTTTTAATAATAATCTTGTGGTGATAATAATATAATTGACATTAAATCAATAATAAATTACATAACTTTGTAGTTAATAAATATTAGCCGTTAGAATTTATTATTTATTAACCATATATTTTATATGATCCGTTTAATTAAATTTTTCTAACAATTTAACGAGTTTTTATCAACATTTTGTATAAATTCTAATAATTGTATTAGAAACTCTGGATTTATTAGTTTTTATTTAATTGTTGATAAAAAAAAATCACTTATATAGCTCCTTAAAAACAAAATAATGGTGACAAAAAGTTAACTTTGGTGTATATACAACTCCTAACATATGTCAATTTCTTTATTTCCGGAAAACACACAGTTATAAATTAAATAAAATCCTTTTTTATTTCCTATTATTTTTTGGTATGGTTATTTCCTATTATTTGAATATCTAAGTTGTTTTTTCTTTTAGAAAAATTTATCTGTTTGTTTCGGAGATAAATAAAGTTATATAGTAAGTTTTAATTTCGATTTTCTTGAAATTAATAATTCAAAGTAAAGGAAGGGGAAAGCTTATTTTCTTCCTCAACTTTTCCCCTCCTTGCTAGTTTCCAAAACAAATAGTTCTATTCAGAATGCATGTTTAAAAATACGACAAAAAATAACAGAGGACTAGACACTTGACCTTTCATTATCAAATACAAGCAATGCAATGGTCTCTTTCGAGAGAGTTGCAAAGGTGAATGGTTGAATTGTGATGCAACACCTCCACTAACATGGACAGAGATTCACCATCCAGCATCTTCCTCATAGTGATTTATTTATCGATGTCTTCATTGTAACGGTATAACATCAAGTTTGCATCTATATTGTGGCATTCTGGTTTCAGGTCTCCCATCAGCATACACCTTAAAACTCGCATGGCTCTCAGCACAAGATGTAAACACTAAGGTACAAAATTGGTATAACATGTGTTGAATACTTGAATATGGTCAACAAAAGGGAAAATTTGAGGTGGACCTATATGTGGTGTGCTACTAATTGGATTATTTGGAACACTAGAAACCATATTATTTTTCATAGAAAATCATTTGACAAGGAATTTGTGTTGCACCTGATTCTTTTTCATGGTTGATTGTGGATGAATACTTATGTACCAACTTTTGGTTATTCATTTGTACGGTATGTTTTTTGCCTTTTCGATTGTATAGTCATCTAAGATATATAGGTAGTGATCTCACATGTTGTGACTTCGTGGGACAAAGTTATGTAATATGGTTACTCTATATTAATGCATTTGTTTGTATATCTTCTAGGAATGCCTGAAATCATATAATGCAATGTATATGTGTTGCAAGTTAGTAACATAACAAGTGGTGCAACTTGGTGGTTACGCAATATTTAAATGGGGTATTTGCTAATATATGTTGTAACCATTGATAGATTTATGCTATAGGAGACTAATGTTATGGTATGATTCTTGTAATACATTTGGGTATTACTTATACCTTTTTACATATATACAATATTTATTGTTTTGTTGATAAAAAAAAAATGGTGTTGTTAATATGCTTGCGTAAACGATTTAGATCTGTCAATTGAATTGGTTGCATAATCGGTTCAAATCTATATTAGATTATTTATGCAATTGAATCAGTTGAAATCAGTAAAAACTCAATTATATGGATGGATTGATGACATATGAGTTTGTTTAAGAAATGGTTCTTTGTAACTAAGACAAAATTTGATCCCATGAATCTCTAATTGAAAGATAACTTCCTTACCTCTGTTCTAATAGGTTTTAATTAACAAGTGCATGGGCTAAATAATTTTAATATTGTATTTGACTTGTAAAATTATACATTTAATTATATATTAATTTATGAGTAATTAAGATTATTTACTACTTTAGTGACCATTAAATCTAAATATTTTATTGTTATACAATTAATTAACTTATATAATTTATATAATATATTCTTAATTTAGAATTATATATTAATATATGCGCTTCAACAAATCTATAATTTAATTGTTTTATTAATGTTATATTAACTATAATTTCTTTCAAAACTCTTTTAAGGTATGATGTAAATTTTATAGATAAAAAATTATTTATGACATTAATATTTTTAAAAACTTAATAGAGACCAATGTATATGATTTAATAAGTGATTTAACAATTCAACTCTGACTCACTAATCCAATACTTTACTTAATTTGATGACTAGTTCGATTTTTAAAACTTTGGTTTAAGGGAAAGATAAGTTAAATAACCTTGAAGCCAAAATATTTTTTCAAGCGATAATCTATAGTTACAACAATCTTCTTGATCATAATATTGTTTCAAACAGTTACAGAAGAAGATAATCTATAGTTACAACGATCTTTTTGATGGCCCTAGTCACTAGTTAAAAGGAAAAGCACCTAGGAATATGAGAGCATGTCATATTCCTATAGTTCATGTGAACTGAAACCGCATTAAAAGCTTTACAGATTTTAATTGCTCGCCTTTCTCATCATGTAAAGGGATTGCCCGGAAACCAGATTTTAGCTCAGAGATTGGCAAACATGTTTGCCCGCCAAAGTCATCCTTTTCATGCTTATCATACTCCCGAACTTCAATTCGAAGCAAGGCTAGTTCTGGAACAGTCAAGGGAAATTCAAACTCTTCGTCCCACACAGGAAACCAATCATCTTGAATTACCTTGGTCTTCTTATTGGCTTTATCAGCTGGTACTCCAACAATGCATACCTGTTATTAAATAAATAAATCAAATGCTTAGTATAAAATATTTTTGTTTCTCTCTCTTTTTTCATGTTGATAAGTGCAATCACACAATTAACTCTTTAAGATTCTAACATTATCAACAAAATAACTTTAAGGAGTTTCTAGCAGTAACTTTTACACAATCTTGAAACACTGTAATCTGCTCTTCAAGGTATAGCATCTCACACAAATTGTGAGTGAGATGAAGTTGTAGGAAAATGGTTATAAAAAGTTATAAGGGATTTTAACAATATTGAAACATGAAGGCTAGACCAATTTTTCAAATTCGATTGCCAAAAATTTCTCTTTACACCTACAGATGTTCAACTATGTCCATCCGCTGACTAACTGCCCCCTAGTGTGCACTGTGCAATATTAATAAAATTATCGAACTCACCTTTGTATAAAAGTCCGGAGGAGAAAATGCATCAAAGTATGTTTTGCTAAAATCTGTGCTCCACCCGTTCCCCATGTATACTTTAACCTACAGGTTATATGGGAGAAGCTCACAAGATGTCACCAAACCAATTGGTTTCTTTTTCAAAATAGTTTCTTACCTTTAATGTCGTCTTCACCGGCGATGTTCTTTTAGGATCAAAAACCTTATTTTCTGGGTCTTCTTCTATTAGAAATAAAGGCTTTTTCACATAACCACACCCTCCATTTGCTCTAAACATCCCTTGCATGTACCAGAGTGATTTTCCATGCCCCTGACAAAGATAAACATATACTAAAATGTTAATACTAAGGGATGCATTAAACAAAAACATAAAAACTTGAAAAATAAGACCATAGTGACCTATGACTATTAACAAAATATCTTACCGATAAAAATGTCAAAAAAGCCAGATAGCATTAACAATGATTGTTAGATACCACTAAAATAATATATAGTAACAAATAATTAAATGCATGTGGGCACAACAGTTTAGAAATATTAATTCAATATGCATCAAGATTGCTCCACAACAAAAAATAGCCATGCTTCACTAATTTCCTGAACATCCAAGTACCCAGATAAATAAACTGTATGATAAAATCTTCACATGGACGCGTAGAGTGCATCAAGATTGGAAATAGAAAACACTAGGATAATTAAAACCTTTTATTTGAAACAACCTTGGCCATAAGTCCCTGACCTGCATGTTAAATGCAACCATCTGAGCTCCGTACATCCACCCTATATGAGGCCTGTAATTTGAGGAGGTGACACGTGTTCCCCTTGGATATACCCTGATAATATTCTTCTGAGTAAATCTGAAAGCATAAAATGTAATTGTCTTAGTTGATAGGTTGAATATATTAGCAGTTAGCACTACTATGTAGTACGTACTAAGTAGAATACCTAACAATATCAGAACCATATGAGGCAGAGGCCCTTTCAAGTTCCTGTTCACTCAAGCTCAAGCGTTTTACATCCCCAGCAATGTTTAAGTGGTCTCTTACAGGACCCTTTGGCTTCCCAGCATGGATTGTGATCAAACGCTTGTATTCAAATGCACTAGGTTGGTCTGGTTTTTTATCACGAGTAGTCAAGCCTTCCTCTTCAAGATCACTTCCATTCAGCTATCCAGTTAGGGGAGAGAAAAGATGGCATAAGCATGCTTCAAGATCACTTATAAATGTAAATCAGATTAGAAACAAATATTTCTTTATGCTCACCTTCTCATCAACTTCCACTTCACCGATAATGCATGGTGAGGCCGACCCTTCATCAACAGATTCCCTTTCACTGTCACTATCCTTGAATTGCTTGGATTCAAGATAAACAAATATTTCTTTATGCTCACCTTCTCATCAACTTCCACTTCACCGATAATGCATGGTGAGGCCGACCCTTCATCAACAGATTCCCTTTCACTGTCACTATCCTTGAATTGCTTGGATTCAAGATATTCTTTTGGTGGTTTGGTTGATATAAGAATTCGACCTTTCACAGATTCTGGTGTGGGGAATTCTGTCACAAGATCTGTCTGAGGATAATAGAGCATATCTCCAAATATTTGAGTTATCATCTGCAAACAAGATTAAATTTGCATTCATTACCTAAAAAATAGGGACTTGAAGTAGATTCTTCTTTTGTGTGTAACAATAGGACCTTACCTCTGCAGCTTTAGCTTGAAGAAATGGTGTAAGGTGGTCTTCTAAGGTTATAATGACTGGGTATTCAGATTTAACAAAAGCATACTCTTTTATGGACTTCAAACATTGGATAAGTGAGACAGGAGCAGTAAGTGTCCTGAAATATTTCAGAAAAAGGTTCCAAAGCAAATATGTATTTAATAAACTGATCCATGAATGTCTTAAATGAATAAAAGATCAAAAGACAAAGAAAATAGTCATCCAACTCTACAATATTGAACTCAAAAGGATCAACACCTTCCATGAACTACGTCGATATCATCTTTAGTTGAATTTGGCCATAAATCAAGTTCAATTACTCGAACACCTCGTTGCAAAGACTTTATGATTGGCACATCACTGCAATCGCTGCTCAGCTGATTCCCAGTCAGATAGGAATTGTGCCCGGTATATATGAAATAATGTGATAACGGAGCATTCATATCATGATGTACCTGGCATGACACATTATTCATATTATCAAGAGGAGACCAAAAACATTCCTTAAAATAACAACACTATAAACTAGATATTATCCTTAATTGATTCCCAATCTAAATATTGACCATTATAAGTCAATGTTAGTCAACATTCACAAACATAACATGTAACTACTAAACTGCAGAAGTTTAGTCCAAGTCAATTTCACTCCATATTCAAACTTGCCCCCTTTTAGTTTAGATCATGACATCAAAATTATGGCACAAATAAAAAAAAATAAAAAATCACTATACAATATATACATACTACTGTCCCGAGCTTGCAAAAGTCAGTTTTATTTGCTGTTTTGTATGTTTGTTTGAACTTTTAATTAAGGAATGATAAGTGTCAAATTTACGTAATTAGTTTAATCAATCTTGACACTTATCTAGTTATTTTACTATGAAATTTATAAGTAAACTCCTAAGCTTGTAAATAGAATCAAAAGGGCATGAAGTAAGACTTTTTGTTGAGAGTTGATGAAAGTTTTTATTAATTTTTGAGGTGTTTTTGTTTTGTAGATGTAGAAAAGATGAAGGTTGCGGCTTTGACCCAAACCACTCAACGGTTACAAAAGGGCTGAATGGTTTGGAGGCCGAGAAGCATGTAGGAGAAAGCCCTAAGCCGCTCAAAGGTTGAAAAAGGACTGAGCGGTTTAGGGTCCGAGAGGCAGAATTTTTGGAGCTCCCAGGCGCTCAACCGTTGGGCCAGGGACTCCGCCATTGCAAGTTACTTCACCCAGAAGAACTCTCAGGTACTTAACCATTTCCAAACGGCTGAGCAGTTTACTCTCTCTTCCCTACTTTGTTTTATTTTAGCTGACATTTAAAACGGAAAAGAGGGGAAGAAAAAAAGGAAAAGGAGGAGGAAGCAAAACAGAGCATGAGCAGAGTAGAGCTTGAAAAAGGACTTGGAACCAGCTGAGAACAGGGGTTCTTTAGTTTTTCCCTTTCATGTATTCCTTTTGATTTTCATATATATGATCTATTATTCGGTATCAATGGGTTCGTATTCTGAATGCTTGGATGATCTAATCACCCATTTTTTATCTTTAGTTTGGATTTTAGTTACAAAACGTTTTCTGAACTTAGTTCTGAATCAAATCACCTAATAGTCTCAAAAATTAAGAAAAAATTTGAAGCTATTAATTGTAAAAGTTCTAATACTTGATACAGGATTTTAACTTGATAACTTGAGGAATCAATTGTTAAGTTGTACTTCATAGAATTTCTAAATCAAGAAATTGGTTTTAAATGAATTCATAGAATTTAAGGATATTGGATAATGGAAATTATATATAAATATCATTGGTAAAATTTAATCTCAACAGCTCTATTTCGATAAATTTCTATTCTGGCCTTGCTTTATGTGTATTCTAGTTGCTAGAAATATTATTTCTACTTGCAATAATATGATTTTGTCTCGTATAAATTTATCCTTATCAAGTTTTATTTAAAAATAATAATTTATTAAAATCTTACAAGTCCATGAAGTTCGACAACTCTACATTTATTATACTACAAAGACTGATGTGTTTTTCATGTAAAAATCTTAACAAAGAACCAACATTTTCTGTTAAAAAATATCCTTAAAATTTTTATAATGAAAAAATGTTTTTTTAAAAACTTTTTTTTATCATAGAAAGGTAATTTAAAAAATGGAAATACTCTATGATAATTTCTTTTCCAAAATTCATCTAATCTCATCCTTGCCTATTTGCTACCTGACAACAACTGATAAAGGTTGTAAATAAGTTAGACTTCCCTATGCTGGTACAGTAATCTAATGTTACACTGTTCACTACTTCTATTTCAATTCTTGCCATCATCTTAACAATTTTTTTGCTACCATCAATGAATGAAAGGACTCAAAGCAATGGCTAGGAAGCTAAATTCCATATCTTTTAAAAAGTTATTAAAAACGGGTCCCATTTCTTGTACGTTATATAAACTTTCCCTCTTTTTTTTCCTTTGCTCCTACTCTTTGTGCAGTAAAAAGAGGATAAAGAAATACAACATGTCAAAATCAGACAATAAAGCAAACAAACAAGTACAACAACAAATAATCCATTAAAAACACACCCCATAAAAATATCCGTATGACAACAACCACCCATTTTTAACGAATTCCTTAAAGTGTATATATTTTTCTCATAAACTAATTCTTTCAAAACATAGAAATCATCGAAGTTAATTTTACCATTTTCATATGCAGCCGGAAATGAAACCCTTGTTAATATATTTAAATTTTAAGGACTAGCTATCTTTTGGTGTAAACTTCATGTGTCTTCCTGTTGGAGTATTATGGACAACAAACCTCTCTCTTCAAATATTCAATAGAGTTGATATTTAGAACTCGAACTCAAAACCACATGTAATCTGGAACAACCATGTACTGTTATTGGGCTAAGGACATGCTATCTACCAACCTTGTTAGATTTTACTGGTTTATTATTTTAAAAAATCACTGATTTAAATAATTATTTGTCAACTTTTGTTTTAGTTTTGATCCTATATCTAAACCAACAAATTCTAAGTTTCAATATGTACACCAACTATTGTTGTATGCTTTAGTCTTGTTATTGTAATAATCGCCACAACTAGAGGCATAACAACCAATTCATAAAAGTAATCGCTCCAACTAGAAATATAGGAAATAAAACGAAAAGTTGACGTATGTTCCTAAATCCTAATGAGTAATCAAAACATCCTTCGTTAACATCGTTAACATAACTAAGAAGAAAAAAAAGTTTTTTTTTTTTTGTTTTGTTTTTGTTGCACGTTTTCGGGGAAAGCAAAAAGGGGTGGTTAAGAGAGACCTGTGATTTGAGAGGATCGTTGTAATCGACGAGGAACAAGAAGCGGAAGAACTCGTCGAGGGTGAGTCCGTCTGGGGGGTCGCATTCTGCGTCGTCGTTTTGTTGGCGCGATTGCAAGACGTTTTGGAGGATGCGGGCGGAATCCTCAGCGGTGTAGTGGGGTTCGAGTTGGTGGTCGTGGAGGAAGCGGAGGAGCTGGTCGGCGGACATGGCGGGGGCTCCGTCGGCGAAGGAGGAGAAGAGTTCCTTGACGTCCGGCGGAGGGGATTGATCGGAGACGGCGAACTTTCTGTTGAAGTACTTGAACATTCTGTACTCATGGACGTTGCTCATTGTTTGGCAGATGAGAAAGGATTGGCGATGAAATTGAAATGCAAATGGGAATGCAAGTTTTGAGTTGGGAGTTTGAGAAAGAGAGAGAGAGAGAGAGAGAGAGAAAAGGCTTCCATAAATGGAACAATGCGGTTTAAGCGGGATCATTCTCGTTTGGATTTAGACTGCCACGTAGATTTTACTCTTTTTTTTATTTTTATTTTAATTTTACTATTGTTGAAAAATAAAAAAATAAATAGAGGTTTCGTAACTGTAACCATGGAATTTAGTTTTGTTAATTTCAATAAAATAAATATATAAAAAATTAAACTATTTTTCCTTTGAACTAGATATATATAAAAATTAAAAAAATATATTAGAAACACAATTTCAATTCAATGAATAAATATTTTAGATATAACAACGTTGAATAGAATGAAATTAGTTGAAATATGTTAATTTGAGACTAACAAATATAAGATTTTTGTTTCTTATATTTACAATTGGAAGTAGTAGATTTTAAAATGTTGTTTGCTAAACAAGAGTTTTTGTCTGACTCAATTGTTTGATCAATGTGTTTAATTTTTTTTTTATATGTCAAGTTTAATTTTTATGAATAAAAATCAAAATTATAAAATTATGAATGATACGTATTAAATAAGTGAAATTCATAAAATTTTATAATTTTTTAATAGATTTTGGTTTATAATAATAAAAAATATATATTAAAAAGTATGTTATTTACATTTTTTCCATGTTTAGGCTATTATCAAATAAGTAATTCTTGATATATAGCTTTAGGCTTATTTAATAGTGTGGCATTTAAAATATATCTTTAAAATAACTTAAATTCACCTTTAATCTTAATACTTGTGTGAATGTTTAATTTTAGTCCTTATAATATTTTTATTACAAATTTGATCTTTATATTTTTCATAATTAAGCAATTTTTTGTTTATAATTGGTGTGTCATTCAAAATTAAAAATGTTTAAATGTTTGTGAGTGATACTATTTTATGGTTATTTAATCATGTTAACTTTCATGTAAAAAATTAAAATATTTTTTTACTTCAATTAAAATTATAATTTATTAAAGTAATTTTATTTTTAATTTTTAATAACATTATTTTTTTATATAGTTAACTTTCAAATAGTATTACTCACATCAATATTTTTTTAATATTTTAGATGACATGTTAACAATAAATTGACATTATTTAATTTTGAAAGTTGTAAAACCAAATTTGTAATAAAAAGTCATGGACTACAAAAATTATACATTTCTGAAAAATCAAAAGTGAATTTAAATCTTTAAAGAATTATTAATGTTTTAACGTGCTTCGATAAAATTGTTTGTGGATTGAAGTGGTTTTGTGAAATTAATTTTAGTTTGCTTGTTTGTGCATCTTTTACACACGTTCACTTAACATTTCACGTTAGAAAAGTGAACAAAAATGCAGAACTTCTTCTAGCTTCAAACAACGCACTTCCATCCAATGGTAACACAAAATCAAACACCTATTTGTTTCAAAAATGAGTTTGAAATAATGTGATTTTTGTAGAAAATGGTCGTCAGATACTTTTAATATAAAAAAATGGATTTGTAACTACTAAAATGAGTTTTTATTATGTATAACTCTTTGTTTAATATTCATTATAATGTAAGATCACTACATTTTAAAATTGAAAATTATAGAGGAAAATATAACTAATTACTAAAATTAACATACAAATAGTTCCTTGATATACATGCAATAATATATACATATGTATAGAAAATATATACTACAAACATAAAAGTTTCTCCTCAAAATTACATATATATATATATATATATATATATATAT